TAGATTAAATAAAGAGGACTCATGGTGATACAAACCTCAATAATTCCACTCAAAAATAACAATTGCTCACTGTGATGGCTTTACAATCGCATTGACGATCAATTATATACTTCTTAATTTTCTAAAAATATCAAAATTGCCTGCGTTCTTAAACCTCAGTTTTGACGATTTATGTGCCTATTAAGGTTTTTTTTACAAAGCGACAGTTTTATAATCACTTATGAATCGGAAAAATATCACGACTTCTAGATAACATAAAAACTTTATGAATACATATAGTATGAAGTGTGAAGCGAGTTAAATCTTTTTTGTGTATTGATTGGACCGCCAATATACATTTACTATCAGGCAAGTACGATTGTTAGTTTGTCTGTCTAGTGAATAAGCAAGACCCATAGCAGTGTGTCTGGTAATTCACTGGGTAGCAATAAGTCGGATCTGAAATAATGTATGTACTTTTATATATTTTATATAAGGAACGTAATTAAGTGAACCTTTCGAAATATTATAGAAGTCATATGGCGATTTTTGAAATCACATCTATTTCATAAATTTATTTAATCACTTTTTTTTTGAAAGTTTAGGAAGAGCATTTTGATAAAATAACGCTTTGAGAAAACGTCCACACTAATTTAATATAGAAATTTAATATAGACGTCTTCAAATTATATTTAATAAATTTTTTGCAGGGTCTAAGTACGCTATTGATTTTAGTTTATTTATTGCAGCTTCTACGTGACATAGATTGTATAAGCTAAATAGCAATCAATTTAAGTAAGATTCAACGAATATTAATAATTAATGAACTTAGCTGTAAATCACTTCATTACGAAAACTAAAAACAAATATCTCACATGATATATGCGAAAACCGACAGGCTGCCATACTTAGCATCATCTAATCTCAGAGTAATCACTAACCATACGGGGCGGTACGCAGATCTTAGATCAATCATTGAATAATCACGAAGATCAGTAATACTCAAATTAGTCAGTGAGGTGGGCGGGACTCTGCAGAATCTCCCCAGCTATCATAGAGTAAAAGTGTCCAGTTGCACTAACTCGGAAAAGCCTTAACATAATAATAATGATATCTTAATAAATCATTTGTCTTATTTGTGTCCACCTTTCGAAAACACGGAGTACGATTGCAGATTTATCTAACTAATAAAGTGAGAGTACTGGAATGTGTTCTCGTTGTTTAAGTAAAAACCCCACTCATACTCATCTAGTATTCCGAATTGCATGATATTGTTTCATTAATTATAAAGAAAATTGTTCTGATCGATAAAAGTCTTAAAACATTCTGAATGTTTTAAAGCAACCTCATGGCCTGAGTTAACTGGTGACCTGAGTTACCAGTTATTTTGTTTACATCTGCTTCTAGACAATAAAGATCATAATCACATATTAGAATCTTTTGCTGTTTGAGTTAAAATTCTATTCCTACTCTTTCAACATTCCGAAGATGATGATATTCTTAAAATCTACCTACAAATGCCTAACTTTTAAAAAATTCTTGAAACGATACTTCATAAATGTAGAGTTCGTTTGAATTAGGTTCACTCACCAT